GAAACAGACCACATTCCTAAAGCAGCTACTCAGCTGCTTGTGGCAGATTTCACCATGGAGTTGATTGCCAGTCTCATCATGGGCAATAATTATAACCAGCTGTCTAGCCTCGGAAACCCAAGGAGGGGTCGCTATGAGTCAGGGCTGACTCGACGGCACATAACAACAACAACAACAAGCCACTCAAAACCAGGCCCAGTCAAGGTGACACATAACCTTAACTACCATAGTCCAGTTGTGAGGATTTTCATTTTCCTTATGTTGAGGTGTGATCCATACTGAACACTGCTGCAGTCTTTGATCTTCATCAGTATGTGGTTCAAGTCATCTTCACTTTCAGCAAGCAAGGTTGTGTCATCTGTGTATCACAGGTTGTTAATGAGTTGCAATTGATTCTGAGAGGATCAGATTTCAGTAGAGGAGGCAGGCAGGTTGGATGAGGGAATAAGCAAAATCAAATGGGAATGGAACCCAGGAAAATATTGACATTTAAGGAGCAGGTGGAAGAAGGAAAAAGGGAGAAATGATCAGAGAGGTTTATGAATGCCAAGAAAGAGGAAAGTTCCAAGGAATATGAGATCAACGGTGAAGTCTAGCAAAAGAAACAACTGTAAATACCCGAGAAATTTGGTACTTAGGTCACTGATGGCTTAAGTGAAGAAATTTCAGAGTTGTTAGGGACGAAGCCAGACTGCACTGGTTAAGGACATTCAGTTAATTGTGTGATATGGTAATCAGTGAGAATGGAATTAGTAACAACATGCAAATTATTAATTTTTTCCTTCATCTGAAAAACAGTAATTTTCTCTATATTAGAGATTCTGTAAAGAAACTTAGGAACTTTATCATTTTTCTTGGTTAAGATCATTCTATTTTTGTTTCAGTCATTCTTTCAACAAATATTTGAGTACGGTTGGTACAAATGGTTAATGTGTGAGGCTGCTAACCAAAAGGTTAGGTGTTTGAGTCTACTCAGAGGTGCCTTGGAAGAAAGGCTGGGCAATCTACTCCCCAAACAATCAGCCATTAAAAACCCCATGGGACACAGTTCTACTCTGACATATCTGGGTTCAACATGGAACAGAGATGATTCAATGGCAACTGGTTTTTACTATGAGGAAACCAAGGCACAGAAAGGTTATGTAACTTGTCCAACGTCCCATAGCTTGTTAGTTGTGGGTCAAAATTTGAACCCAAATTCACATTTTCAACCATTAAATTCAAAACTCAGTAGCTCTTGGCTATTCTCTAAAGCCACAAGACTAGAGAAATACAATTTGGTTGTCAGGCAACAGTAAAGGCTGATCTGAAGTCAGCTACTTAAAGAATGTGTTCAGATGATTTAAAGATAGTGAGTAAATTAGGAAACATCTACATAAACTCCATGAGGGAGCTCATCCAGTCTTATGGCTTCAGAGAACATCCCAAACCTCATGAGTTCTGAATTTAATGGTTGAAAATTTGAATTTGAAATTTGAATTTGGGTTCAAACTTTTCCACAACTGACAAGCAAAAAAAAAAAAAAAAAAAAAACTGCTTTAGTGTGAAAGCCATAACGTATAGTTCTAGATAGTCGTTAATACCATCATGGAAAACATTGGCTCCCAAGTTCCAGGACCAATTGCATTTGAACCATATGGAAGCTTGTTAAAAGAGCCCTGGTAGTGCAGTGGTTAAAGCATTCAGCTGATAGGTTTGTGGTTCGAACCCATCAGCTGCTACAATGGAGAGAGAGATGGCAATCTGCTTCCATAAAGATTTATAGCCTAGGAAACCCTATGGGACAGTTACACTCTGTCTTACAGGGTTGCCATGAGTAGGAATTGACTTGACAGGCGTGGGTTTTTGATGGGGGAAACTTAAATATAGATTCTCAGGCTCTAGGCCAAAGGGTTCAGGTGATTCAGACCGAGAGTTAGGTTTCAGAAATACTAGAAACAGCAATTTAACTCTTTGGTTAATGAAAAATTGATAAACCAATGGCAGACTTAAAAACAGGTCTCTTGTTTTTCAGATGTGCCCATTTTAAATCACAACAACTAGCCTAAATATATAGTTTTTACTTCTACCAAACCCAAGGAAGGTGATAAAGAAAGCAATGGGTAGGAAAAAAAGTGGTTCACTCAAGGGACTAAATGGAAGATTAAACAAAACAAAACAAGTATAGCACCCTGAGCAGGTCCCCTGGTTATGTTTCTACCTTCCTACCTTCCTTCTCCCCACAAATATTTATCAGGTGCTTACTATGTATCAGGTACTGTTCTTAGCACTGAAAATATAATGAAGAATAAAATACAAAAATTCCTATTCTCATGAAGCATGCACTCTAGTGGGAAGAGAGATAAGTCATTAAATAATTAAAACGTAAATTGTGTTAAGTGCTGTGGAAAAAAAAAAACACATTAGAAGGATAGGAAGTGCAGTGGGTGTGTATTGGGGATAAGGTGGGTTGCCTCGGGAGTTTAGTTTGGGAGATGAGGGGAGTGACCTGAGCATCCTGAGCTTATTAAGGTGATAGGTTATAGGACATATACAAGGTATATACCCCATATGCAGAGACAAAGGGCAAAATGAGATTAGTGGTGACAGTAGACAGGGGTGATAAATCTGTGGGAGGGTAGGCCTTCTAGAATCCCATCTTACCTCCTGCCAATGGGGACAAGGAGGCCAGAGGAAGGCAGTCTTACTTTTAGCAATAATCTTTATGCTATCTGAAAATTTTATTATTTCTGGCCTATAAAACCGGGGAATACAGAAATCCCTACAATATACCTCTTATGTTTTCAAGTGGTAACTAATGCTTCAATCTGTCCCTATTTTTAAGATTTGATGCTTAAATATTCTTGATGGGAGAATGGTCGTTCTTACCGCAATAAACTCTTGGAAGGCGTGAATGATGAGAAGGGAAACGTTTCCAGGTGCCATCTTCACATTTCTTCATGAACTGGTCAAAGAGGAGTCTAATTTCCTTGCTCCAGCTGGGGTTAGGGAGAGCCTGGTCCTTCTGAGTGGCTTCTTCAGAAGAAAATGACCTCTACAAACCAAGAGGAGAAAAAGAAGAGTAATGGGAGGTACACAGCACATCTCTCAGTTTATCTAAGACCAACTTGTTTTTCCCCTTCCCAGCAGCTTATCACTTTGGAAGGGAAGGGAACTTCAGAAATCACCTGGTCTAACTTCCTTGGGAGAAATGAGAGATTGAGGGAGGGCAAATGACTTGCCTAACACCCAGCTAGCTATTTGCAGAGCCTTGTTCCATTCTTTTTCAAACGTTAATCAAGCATACATGAGCCAGGCCCTGGAGCTAAACAGAGACAGACACACATTACCCTCTACATAAAAAGTGCTACGAGTGGGGTAAAAACAGGCAGCTGTAACACAGGAGAATGATATCCATCTCAGATTGGGGGTTTAGGGAGGGGTTCTTTGGCTTGAATCTTGACAGACAAGTAGCAATTAGCCAGCTGAAGAGAGTATTGTAGGCAAAGAACACTGTGTGCAAATGCAGGGAGGCAAGAAACAGTTTTGAGGCCTTACTACTACAACTGCATGAACCAAAAAAAAAAAAAAAAAAAAGCCATCGAGTTGTTCCTGACTCATAGCAACCCCTCCTTGGGTTTCCGAAGTGGTATCTCTACCTAAGTAGATTGCCCAACCTTCCTTCCAAGGAGTGGCTGGTGGGTTTGAATCACCAGCCTTCTGGTTAGTCTATGAGAAAAACAAACCAAACTCACTCCCATAGAGTCGGATCCCACGCATAGCGACCCCTCCTTGGGTTTTCGAGGCGGTAGTACTACAGAAATAGATTGCCCAGCTTCCTTTCAAGGAGTGGCTGGTAGGTTTGAACCACCAGCCTTCTGGTTAGCAGTCAAATGCCTTAGGCACTATGCCAACAGAGCTGCTGACACTAGTGACATGAGGAAAGGGAAATGTGAGCAGATTCAAGACAGCTCTGCACCTACTCTAGGAGCTCTGGTGGCGTAGTGCGTAAGGCATTTGACTGCTAACCAGAAGGCTGGTGGTTCAAACCCATCAGCCACTCCTTAGAAGGAAGATTGGGCAATCTACTTTTGTAGAGATACTGCCAGGAAACCCAAGCAGGGGTCACTATGAGTCGGGATCAACTCCATGGAAGTGATTTTATTTTTGTTTTTGTTTTGGTACCCCTACTCCAAGATTGGGAGCTCTGATAGCGTAGTGCCTACGGCACTTGACTGCTAACCAGAAGGGTGGCGGTTCAAACCCACCAGCCACTCCTAGGAAAGAAGGTTGGACAATCTACTTCTGTAGTGATACCACCTCAGAAAGCCAAGGAGGGGTCACTATAAGTCAGGTATGACTCGGCACATAACAAGAACAACTCCAAGATTTGTGCCTTTTTTTCTGTGTGGTCTTTAGATTAGATCACCCCTTCAGAACCCAGCTCAGAAAATATGGCAAAGAAAGAAAAGAAAAACAAACAAAAATCCCAACTATTATCTCATCTTAATACAACCAAAGGCAAATTTTTCCTGTATTCCCTCCAAGTCTTTTTAAATGTAATTTTCTTAATATACTTGTACTTCCAGTAATAAATTTAATTATGCTTTCAGCTTTCACCATTTTAATCTAGTTTTTACTTTTTCATGTCCTTAACCTCAGTTATTACCATATTCAATAGAAAAATAGTCCTTTAAATTGATGTATTAAAATTGATTGTGTTTAAATTATTTCCAGTCTTTTGTTGATCTAAATGAAAATGTTCATAAGCGTATCATGAATATGGCTTTTTCTCTATTTTGGATTATTTTCTTAGAATTCCC